TTTTATCCAACCAACTGGTTGACTTTCTTGTGGGTTACTTCAAACTCCTACTCTTGCCCTCCCTCCTTGCAAACCTCCAAAGCTTTGTTCCTTTTTGTACAAAAGGCTTTGTCTTAGTTCTTATCCTTATAGTAGCAGTTCTTGTACAAATTTGCCCTGTTGTGATCAACTAACTTCACTCAGCAAAATATTCTCTAGATCCATCCTTGTCATGGGGTCTTTTGTGATGTCACCATTGTTTTCTAGTGACACATCGTATTGCATCGTGTGCACGTACTAAAATGTCTTTATCCATTCTTCCACTGATGGGTATTTGGATAGAGCCCACCCTTGTAATCACTCCACTTTGCCATTTTAAGTAGTGCTAGTTCTCCTGCTCTTACCTACATACACTGCTTCCACATTCAGATTTTACATTGGACATTTCTTGAAAATGCTACTGTGTTTAAATAGTCTGCTGTCTGTTGACTCCATATGTGCCCTCTAAAGAGTTCATAGGCAAATTATTGGAATCTGAGAGTTAAACTAAGGAGGAAATATTCCATGATTGTATGGAAATAGACCAGAGTAGTGAAATATAAAGGACCCACTTACTTTGGAAGCAAGCAGAAGACCCATTACCTCCCAGTCACTTCCAATTCACAGCTACCGTATGTATACACGTCAGAGTCGAACTGTCCCATATGTTTTCCAAGGTTGTAATCACCATGGGAGCCTACTGCAATCACTATGAATCACATATTTCTTCCATGGAGCCGTTGGTGCCTCACAAAACCAACCTTTTGGCCAGACACCAAGTACCTAACTACTGTGCGACCAGAGCCCCTATGGAATGAAGCTATTATTGGTGGTAGCTAGGTAGGTTTTTGGAAGAGATAATTAATCCACAAAGTTGCTAGAAAGATTTATAGGAATTATCCAGATGAAGAAGGGAGTAAAGGGAAACCCAGGCGATGGGAATGGTATGTCCACAGGGACCATGAGTTAAGTAGAACTGGCATATAGATAGAATCTGAGGCTAGGAAGGCATGAGCCATGGATCTGAACAAGGGTTAAAGCCCCAGTGATGGAAGACTGCAGGTGGTTGTTGGAGGCTGTTGGGCTGGTTCTGACTCGTTGCCACCTTATGTTCAACAGAATGAAACACTGCCTGGTCTTATGCCATCCTTACAGGTATTCTTATGTTCCAGCCCATTGCTGCAGCCACTGTGTCAATCATCTTGTTGAGGGTCTTCCTCTTTCTCGGTGCCCTTCTACTTCACTAAGTATGACATCGTTTTTCAGGGACTGGTCCCTCCTGATAACACATCCTAATATGTGAAATGATGTCTCTCCATTCTTGCTTCTAAGAAGCATTAAGGCTGTACTTCTTCCAAGACGGATTTGTAGGTTCTTTTGGCAATCCACGATACTTTATTTTTTTATTTTTTTTGGCAATCCACGATACTTTAAATGTTCTTTGCCAGCACTGTAATTCAAATGATCAAAACATATGGGAGCTCTGAAAAGATCACCCTGGCTGTCTGGAGAAAGAATACCAGTTAGGGGCTTTGGCACAACTCTAGATGAGGGATAATTGCAAGAAAAAGGACAGATTTTTAAAAGACAAGCAGGCATACAGGGAGGATGACTCAAAAAGCAACCAGAAGTAAAAACGGAGAAAGAAAGAAGTTACAAATGTCTGGATTTCTACTTTAGGGGGCTGCGGTAGTTCTTTATTCGGAGTTAGGGAACACAGAGCAGCGTATGCAAGCAAGAAAGGTTAGTCACATCAAGTATGAGATATCTGGAACACCCAGGTAGCAATGCCCAGCTAGAGTCAGGGGAGAGAGAACGAGATCAGAGGTAGAAATTTCAGTCATCATTTCTTAGGAAGTAGCTAAAAGGTTGACAATGAACAGGATCACCCTGGAAGAGTGAGTAGAATAGGAAGAGAAGAAAGCCAAGATTTTGTCAGAACCTCTAAATAGAAAGCTTGATTAACAGTCTGACCTGCTGGAATGAACTCCAAATGCACTCTGAGTCAACATTTTCGTCTGCTGACGGACATCCAGAACGAGGTTTGTCATCAATCAACATTGCACCTTTTTTGAAACAAGAAAACCACTCGTACCCTTGAGTTTTTCCCATAGTGTTGTCCTTGTAAGCTGTGTTCAACATCACAACAGTTTCTGCAGCATTTTTCCTGAGCAGAAAACAAAATTTCACAGCCACGCGCTGTTCTCTTAAATCAGCCACCACAAAAAATGAGGTTCTAGTGAAACTGGTTTTATGAAAAATTCACTGTGACCAGAGAGAACCTTCCCAGGTGACACTACTGGGTGCACTAACTCAGAATGAATTGCTTGAGACTCACCTAGCGGGAAAAATTTGTGCTACGAAAGCTTTGTTCTGCCCAGCACAATTCCAATTGTGGTGGGGTACCCCCTCAATTCTTTTGAGTATTTGCCTTAAATTTTATCTGGCATTTTATAAATATTTTTGCATGTGATTATATTTAGAAAAAAGAAATAAAAGGAAGATAGATAGGAAATGTGTAAACACTATGGCTGAATCTAGACAAGACCTATAAGTTACACAGTTGGGTTTCTCAGATAAGGACCCTGAGACCTGGATATTAGAATGGGGCTCAACTGCGCGTGCACGTGTGTGTGTGTGTGTGTGTGTGTTGTATAATGGAGATAATAATAGTACTTTCTAAGAGGAAGGTTGCAAAAATAAAAAGAAAGAGACGCTTATAAAGCACTTAGCACAATGTCTGGCTTATTTTAAATGCCAGATAAGTAGTAGTTATTATTATATTTTATATCATTCATTTGAGCAAGCATATTTTGTCTTAATATAGTTTGTGCATCTCCGGGTAGATTAAAACTTGTGGGAGGAGAAGTTAAAAATTTTATTTGTACATGTGTTATGCATGTAGTGGATGCTCAAAAAAAATGTGTTGAACACACCCCAATAAACTACCACTTTACACGCTGTGAGTATATGTATAAATCCACCAAACACTGCTCAAGGAAATTACCATCTTCACGTTACAGGTCAGGAAGAAGAGATCCAAGAGGTAAAATGACTTGCCCTAAAAGGTCATGCAGCCAGTCACTGACAAAACTCGAATTCAATTCCAAGTCCTCTGACATGAAACTTAGGTCCATAC